AGGGACATCATCAAGCTGAACGTGTGCTGAACGCGGAGGTGCCGTACGTTCGGTACTTGAATCGGTTGGATCACGAAGACGTTCGACTACATCAACCGCGTTAATATAATGCTTCCGCTTTCGGTCTACGAGCGTACGTAGACATACTCTCCCCTCTCGTTGCTATGCATCCCCTAGATAGATCTTGCGTGGTCGTAGGATTTTTTTTTTGAATTACTACGTTCTCCAACACGTCAATGAGAAGATGGGGATAAACTTCATTGTCGAACCCCCAAACGATGACATATATGGGCCCATGTGGAAAGAAACGCGAGAACATGACGATACAAAACAAGCGGGACAAAGAGGACGCGCGACAAAAAATGATGAGCTGACACGGACACACATGTTTTGGTTTGTACGAACATTAAGGCAAACAAATCAGAAAGTTATAGACTTAGATGAGCTAAAAAATCATCTAGATTGGATTTAGCAAATCTGAAACAAAAAATCTAGCTACACCGTCAAACCAAAAATAAAACAAAAGAGGAAATAAAAAGACATGTGGCCCTCCAAAAAAAACTAAGCCCACAGAGAAAAACCCATACACAAAACATAATAATGGCTCACTAAAAAAAATTATATCGGCCTCACTGCTTCATGAGGGACAAACAGAAAACACGATGCAACGACAACGAGCATGACTTAGAAGCACGTGTATTTAACAGTATATGAATTAGATGAAACATTGTTAACTCTCATTTAGATGACCAGCAAGCCAATCTGAAACGAGAACCAGACCGCGCGGCGAAAACGGCCCAACAAAAGACGCATGCGCGAACATGTCGACAAGTAGACACAAATCACACAACTCGACACATAGCGTGCATGACAAAAATAAGCCGCGATCAGGATTTGCACGGCATTCAAAGCAAACATATGACAGAGTGAAAACAAGTTCATGAATTTTAAACAAATAAATAAAGAAAGAAAGGAAAATGAAAAAAAAAGATAAAAGATAAAATAATTAAAAGAACATGAATGTAAAATTAGTTCCTAATTGAAAACAAATAACAAAGTAGAAAAATGAAAATAAGACAAAAGCCAAAAAAAATACTGAGAGTCAAATGAAAGTGTACAAAAATGAGAAGAACTAGAATTGAGTCGTTGCACAGACTTGTGAAAAGAAAATATAAAAACGCAGCCGACGGCGAAAAAACTAAGGCCCACTAGATGTGAGGCTTTGGAGAGGAATGTGATTGGACTATAGACAAAAAGTGGCCCGTCAGCCCAATGTCATGAAATATAAACACGATAACGGCCCGACCTCGCACTAGCAACAACCTGGACATGAGCTACGCGCGAGACAAGGCTCAACAAGCGAGCGTACCAGCCAGACCATCACATTTTGTACAAATATTAAAGACTGGTGATCCAACGACTTTGGACTTTGATGTGAGGTAACTATTTCATATCTAGATGTGAAAAGGCAAATCTGTTTATTTAAAGATGATCTAGGCTACCTATCCTCATTCTGATGAGAATGAAATCTGTAATTGAACTGGGTGGGCCTAAATAACAGATAGTTTGAATTTCCTTGTCTGGATTACATGTCAACTTCGCCAAGTCTTCTCCGATCATGATTCGAGCTGACGAGACAGACACAGAGAGGGTCTCTCAGCTCTGCCGTGGCGTATGGATTCTTTCCCTTGCAAGTATCTTGGCTTGATGCTCTCCATCAAGCAGCTCACCCGCTCGGATTGGCAGCCAGTGGTGGATGACGTGCTCAACTTCTTACCAGGCTGGCAGCGGGGCATGGTGACGAGACTGGGCAGGCTCACTTTGGTCAACACGGTGATTCGGGCCCGACCCACTCACCACCTGCTTGTCGCCGATGCTCCAAAATGGGCTCTGGATCGCGTGGACAAGAGTTGCCGAGCTTTCTTTTGGGCTGGAATGGATCATATTCATGGTGGCAAATGCTTGGTCGCTTGGCAAAAGGTGTGCCGTCCTAAGCAGCTTGGTGGATTGGGTGTGCTGGATCTTCAGAAGCATGGTCTCGCCCTTAGGCTCAGATGGGAATGGCTACGGCGTACGGATGACGCTAGACCGTGGCAGGGGCTACCACTTTTGATGGATGCTCAGGTGCAGTCAGCGTTCAATAGCTTGGTGCACTGGAAAGTAGGAAATGGAAAGTGAATCCTATTCTGGAAAGATAGATGGATTGAGGGTTCGTCTGTTGCTGAGCTTGCGCCATTGGTACTGGCGAAGGTCCGCACACAAGTGGTGAACAAACGGGCAGTTAGTGAGGCGTTGCATCTCCATCGTTGGGCTAATGACATCTCGGGAGAGTTGTGCTCAGATGGATTGGTGCAGATCATCAACCTCTTGGACATGATGATCAACTTGGTGCTGGATCCGGTGCAGAATGACACCCCCCTTTGGAGATGGAATACTGAAGGCTCATATACCTCGAAGTCGACATATGACATGCTATGGCACGGCAGTGTTCGATGTGCGTCAGCTGCTGCAATCTGGAAATGTTGGGCGCCCCTATCCTGTAAGATTTTTATGTGGCTCGCGATGCAATATCGGCTCTGGACAACAGACAGACGGTTACGACACGGGCTGCAAGATCACACCTCTGCTTGTTACATCTGCGCCCAGGAGGAAGACTCGGTTGATCACTTACTACTACACTGTGTCTTCGCGAGACAAGTCTGGCACAGCTGCTTTCTGAAAGCGAGAATCAGTGACACACTGGTGCCGACGGTGTACGACAAGATTGAAGATTGGTGGCTAGAAGCTCGTGCGTGCATCCCGAAGGTAAACAGGAGAGGTTTCGACTCGGTTGTCATGCTCATTTGCTGGCATCTTTGGAAGCATCGTAACGGCTTGGTTTTCGGACCAGCCAGAACTAGCTTGACGGTGGGTGCATTCACAAGTCAGGTCTTCGACGAACTGAGATCTTGGGTGAGTGCGGGAGCGAATGGAGTCGACAAATTTTGTGAGTAGTAGGGTATGGTTTTAGGAGTGGAGCTTGCTAGGTCGGTTGGCTCTCCGATGTGCAGCTTAGGCCTGGCTGTAATAACTCTCTTGTACATACATTCTGCCTTCTATAAAGTTAAGGTATGCGATTGCGTACTCTAAAAAAAATATTCTCTCTGAGGTAGGTGACAGACACAGCTCTGTAAGCTACTTTAGGAACCACAAGATGTATCTGGCAATTTTCATGCTAGACTTTATTTTTTTTACGACAGTAATCCAATATTTTCCCTCTTGGGTTTCTTACATAATGGCGTAACGGTGCATTAATTATAATCTTTCACTTTTTTTTATTCATGTAGAACTTCATTTATTATTACGATTTGATATGGGTTGTGTTTATCTTTGCCATCAATTCACACGCTTATGTGAAAAAATTATATTGATTTCAGTTTGAGTTGAATATCCAACCTTAATATGAGAAGCTTCACGAGGTTGACCTTAGATCATTGCATGTGACTGGGCCTTCAGTAGTTACCTTTGTGTTGGACCCAATTAAGTAAACTATAAGTAAACATATCAATTTGCTTGCCACTGTAAACCAAAAATTGAACAAAGATACATTTTTATTGTTCTTTATCTTTTTTTATTGAGGTTCATGTCCACTGCATTATTTCATGTTGTGAATTTTCCTGGTTTATGCATACTATATTTATTTTTACAGTCCATTGAAGAGTAGAATTCTTTTTTCTAGTGGAATGAATAAGAAATTGGTTATTTTTTACTTTTTTGAGCGAAGGTTACTTTATACTTGCATTACGCAGGGGCCTGTGAGAACAAAATGTATGTATGATGGGCCGCTTGCCAATTGGCCGCTCAAAAAACCAGTACCGAAGTTCAAAAAAAAAAGTACCGAAGGACAGGAAAAAAAGACTACACCGCTCCACCGCTCCCACCCCCTCGCCGCCGCCGCCGCCGCCGCCGGCAGCTTGCTCCTCCCAGCGGTTCGAATCGCCGTCTTGGCCGGCCACAGTTCGGGCGAACCAGCTCCCCTTGTCGTCGGCTGCTGCCCCAGCTCCTCCGCCGGCCGATTAATCCCCTCTGGTCGCACCTCCGCCGGTCAGTGCTCTTCCGTTCGCCCTTGCTTGCGTGACTCGGAATTCCTGCAGAAACAAGTCCGAATCTTTGTCGAGTGCCTTCTTGGGCTCGGATTTGCTTCTCCTACTGGAATTTGAAGCGGTTGGTGATCTATCTGTATATAAGTATAGCCAGGAGCCAGCCTTTCCTCTGCAGAAATTTGCGTCCAACTTACTGATTTTTATTTTTTTGTCAGTTTGGCCGAACCTCAAGATATCTGCAGAGAGACTCTGCGAAATTTGTCGGTTTGGCCGAAGCTGAAGATATCCAATGGAGTCATGTAGCGTTGCCAGGATAACGAGCCTAGGGAAGCTTGCTATGCACCGGACATATTTGTGCACCCTGATCTTCAGAACTTTGCCAAAGATGCTAGGCTTCACTTCCAGTTCACTGGAGAGATTCTGCAAAGCTGAACATGTTGAGCTACAACTGACCAAGAAGACTACACTGGGCACATTGCCGGAGCTGCCTCCGGATGTTTTGATGGGCATCTTTGCCACCCTTGAGATCCCTGACCTCGTGCGTGCCGGCTCTGTCTGCCCATCCTGGCGCTCCGCATACACAAGCCTACGGAGCCTTGGGCAGTACAAACTCCAGCAGACGCCATGTCTCCTCTACACTTCCAAATCCACTGGTGAGAGTGTCGCATGCCTCTACAGCCTCGCAGAGAAGCGATCGTACAAGTTAACCCTCCCGGAGCCGCCTATCCGTACTAGGTGTTTGATCGGGTCCTCACATGGATGGCTGATAACTGCTGATGAGAGATCTGAGATGCACCTCGTCAATCCGGTCACATGTGAACAGATTGCTCTCCCTTCAGTGATCACCATTGAGCAGGTGAGGCCCATCTTTGATGAGCATGGTGCTGTCCACAAGTATGAACTCCATGGCACACTGGAATGCACGATGGTTATAACTCGCCGACAATCTTTGCTCTTGACAACCTGCGGCACGAACTCCACTATAAGGCGTATGTGTTCTCCGATGCATCCACGGAAAGCTTCATTGTGGTGCTCATCCACAATCCAATGCGTCAGCTCTCTTATGCAAGGGTAGGGGATGACAAGTGGACCTGGCTGCCACCTTATGATATCTATGATGACTGCACTTACAAGAATGGCCTATTGTATGCAGCGACTGCAACTGGAGAAATTCATGCTTTTGATCTTAGTGGGCCTGTCGCCAGTATGAAGATAATTATGGGGGCATCTGAGAATATTTCAGCTGGCAGTGCGTACATTGTTCAAGCTCCCTGGGGTGATCTGCTGCTTATTTGGAGAATCTTCGGCGATTATGATTTAGAACCTGAACCTGGGGCATCTGTGTTTTGGCAAACAGGCAGAATTAATATGTATGAAGTTGACTTGGTGGCAAGTAAACTTAAGGCAATCAATTCGTTGCGTTCCCATGTGTTATTTCTTGGGCATAATCAATCTCTTTGTCTCAATGCTGAAGAATATCCAGCTCTCAAGGCAAATCATGTCTACTTTACTGATGATAGTTTTTTCTGGACAACGGGATTGAAGAATAATCACCGTGACATGGGAGTTCTTGATTTGGATGATAATAGCAGGGAGGAAATTATATCTCCTCATCTTTGCTCCAACTTTCCGGCTCCTATGTGGATTACGGCTGATCTTAGAAAGATGAACTTGGCATCAGTAGGGGCAGCTTGAATAAGAGTTGATGGGTTCAATGAGCTAATAATGGGTGGTATTTGCAAGGTTATTGCAGATACATAGGGACCAATAGGACTGTGCGCGGCCATTATTTGCAATGAGCTAATAATGCCCTTAGTTTGTACACGCGACTAGCTTCGAACCAGTTTACTTTGAATAAAGAGATTGCATTTTCCTTTGTTTACTCATGTTGTTTACTCAATGTACCAACTAACTCTCTCCAATTTTAATGTGTCAACAGAAACTTGAGGAATACCAAATTGCTCTCTCCAATTTCTTTTTTGAGTATGTTCGGAACATATGGTGTATGCTCAAAACATTGCTGGGGCGGAATCAACAACAAAATCTTGCTGAAACAGAAGCATTTTTTATTTTTGCTGTAACAAACAAGATTTTCATGCATACAAACAAGGGCAAAGGTCGATGTATAAGGAAGAAGAATTCCCAACAGGTTGTCAAGAAGTTGATCATGAAATTTGTTCCAGATTTGTCTACCACCTAGAAACAAACTAATTGACCAATGTAGTTGAACAACAAATGTTCCCATTTCATACATTTACAGGCAGTTTGTGACTGGCCACTCTACACTTTTGATGCGCAAGAGAGAATTCTTGGTCCTGTAGAATGCCGAACAAGACGGCGCCTAGTTGCCGCCTCTTTTGCTGCTTGTCTTTGCACAATATCGGTTCCTGTAAAACTGGATTAACTTAGTTTGGTTTTATGTCAGGAACAAGAAATATGGCTATTCACAGGAGCAACAACAGCAGCAGCAGCACATCTATTAACTTGAGAATCAAAAACCTACATGGTAGATCAAGCATATTGTTGCCACCAGTCAGGACCTAGCCGGTGGCAAAAGTGCGCGTGCCAGCGGACATCATCGCCGGAGCGAAGTTTGGCGACGCAGCCAAGCTCGCCGCACCAAGTAGCCCCTACTTGATGCAAATAGGAGCAATGCCTGATCATCTATGGTTAGGCCATTTCAAAATTAGCTGACTGGGCACTCAAAGGGAGGAGAAATATGTTGAACTGAAAGTAATACGACGACGCCTTACGTCATTGGTAGGCACAATGAAGCTTGGTGACCTCTGCATCTCAAACATGCACATATGGCAGACCGTTGAATTTCTTGGGCAATTGACTCTGGATAATCTGCAGTAGTTGGCATATTGGTCCACGATCCAGTCGGGTACTGCCTCATCATCCACGATCTGAGAGGAAGAATGGAATTGGGCATTTGTACTCCACTGTAGACCTAGCCTCTGAAGTCTGAACTGAAGCAAAGATGTGGGTGGCAGGGATCCGAGCGCTTACCACTGGCTGGCGTTGGCGCTGGCGCTGCCGTGGAGGTGGAGCCGAGGAAGAGGAGGACGAAGCCGGTGAAGCTGGATCCGAGGAAGAGGACGACGCTGGAGAGGGAGGACAGCGGCGGCCTGGACGATCACCACGGCGGCCGTAGAAGATTGCGTGCCCCCGTGCTGGAGGCTTCGGCGGCGTCGCCGGCTTGCCGGCGCGGGCTCCTCGGCGGCGTCCGGCGGGAGTGGTACGGCGTGAAGGAGCCGGTGCGCCGGTCAGGTCAGCCGGGGTATTTTTTTTCTGTTCTTTTTCTTGATCTGGCCGGGATAATTTTTCGGAGATGAGAAAGAGGGAAGATGGGGCGGGACGGGACGGGGGCACGGGGCATATGAAGCGAACCGACGATGTTCTGTTCGGTTGCGTTCTGGCCCACGAGGTTTTCCCAGGTGGGCCATTTGGCCCATGTTCCACTCTGTCTCTTCTCTCTCTAAAAAAACACATTCCCTCGAACACACGCACACACAGAACTCTTCCACTGAAATAAGATGGTTGTGACATTGTGGTCCATCTGGTATGCAAGGTGGGAAGATAAAAAGACTTACATTTAGGAGCGGAGAAAGTACAACGGTTGACACCGTCCGGTGTTGGTTACCACCTATGATGAACACCATGAAAATAAGGACGTGTCTACCGAGCGGCTGGGCGCTCGATAGGAATCCGTGGCGGCCTCTCCATTTTTAGTATGTTTTTGTCTTAATCAAACAAATTAGAAATTATTTTGTCCTCCTAGCCAGAAAAAGACAAAGACTACACGACATGTTTAACCAGAATTGCAAAAGCACACACACGAACATGTGTGAACGCATTTAATTCAGATTTAAATTTTTTAGAAAAGCCATAACTTTTGAACGAAAAGTCGAAATTAAGATCCGCTTTCACTGCTGAAATCCTCGCGATGTGCTTTTCGAAACTAGATCCCACATGGATATGTTTCGATAAACTTTTTTTTGTGCAATTTGTCCCCGTTTTGTGCAACTGGCTAGTTGTTGATGTGCAACTACCTAATAGTCGATGTGCAACTTTTTCTTTATCCATGGATGTGCAGTTTTCAATGATGACACCTCACCTCAAACTACCCACTATCAAGTGAGATGTGCAACTATGTCTGCTGTCCCCAGCCAACCGCTTAGTAGTCGATGTGCAACTTTTCTCCTCTAGTTGGAAGTGCAATTTTTACTGTTTGCTACCTCGGCCAACTGCCAAGCAGTGGATGTGCAACTTCGAAAACTGTCCTCCCAGCCAACTACCTAACGGTTGATGTGCATGTGTAACTTTCCTCATATCCGTGGATGTGTAGTTTTCATTGCTAGCACCCCTTTCCATCCAACCCAGCTAGTGAGATGTGCATCTTGAGGGTCTCACCTGTAAACATTAATGTGTGTGTAACTAGACTACATTACCACGCCAACTGAGTATATGTGTGTAACTAGTCCTGCCAACTAAACATCAATGTGTGTGCAATGAGACTACATTGTCACGCCAACTAAGCATATGTGTGTGCCAATAGTTTTGCCAACTAAACATCAATGTGTGTGCAACTAGACTACATTGCCGCGCCAACTGAGTATATGTGTGTGTAACTAGTCCTGCCAACTAAACATCAATGTGTGTGCGACTAGACTACATTACAAGTCAACTGAGCATTTGTGTGTGCAACTAGTTTTCCTACCAACTAAACATTATTGTGTGTGCAAGTAGACTGCATTACAAGCCAACAAACATCATCGTGTGTGCAATTAGTTCTCCTGCCAACTGAACATCAATATGTTCTATTGCAACAGGGGAAATATGTTCTATAGGATGTTCTATATACTAAAAGTGAAATAGAAAAGGAGATGAAATTCTATTTCCTGTCATCCGAAAACGGTGCCAAAGGTGATCACATTCTGACGTGATCACCTGAGTTTTTGCAAACAAAAGGTGCCAAAGATGATTAGTTAACACTGCATAAAAAAATATTTGTTGTCCTTTAAAAAACCGGATAAAATATGTTGATGATGCCAACTTGATATTATGTTAGTTGTGCAACTACAAAATGCAGAGGATGCCAACTAAAATAGTTACTCTTGTGCAACTAGAAAGACTGAGGATGTCAACTAGTTAGATGCTATTGTGTAACTAGAAAATGCTCAGGATGCCAACTAATTAAATACTCCTGTGCAACTAGAAATGTTGAGGATGCCAACTAATTGAATACTCTTGTGCAACTATAAATCTTGAGGATGCCAATTAATTAGATACTCTTGGAAAAAGATATATTCAGCACTTGCATGACCCATCAAAAAATTGCACATTCAGGTTTCAGGCTTCTAGAAGAAGAGGGTGTCAACGCAGCTACAAAAAGACTAAGGATGCAACTAGTTGGATGGTATTGTGCAACTAGAAATGTTGAGGATGCCAACTAATCAGGTACTCTTGTGCAACTAGAAAAAGCCTGAGGATGCCAGCTCATTTATATACTCTCTGGGACACATCATCATCCTCTCCATCCCCGTCATTATCAGCGCCATGTGGTTGCCGCTTCGCCGCCCATTTTGAGTTCCTCCGAGAGGTCCTATTTGGAGAACCCTACAATGAACAAAAAATATTGAACTACTCAGAGGGTAAAAGAAAGGAGCATAAAATAAATGGCCATAGGATAAAAAGAAAAAGAAAATATGAACCTCTGTTTCACTACCAGGCACATTTCCTATGGTTGCACAGTAATGTATCCCTAGTTGCGCAGGATCCCAGGCCCTAGTTGCACAGAACTAAAATAAAATTATTTGCCTAGTTTGGTTACAAATTTGGCTAGAAGATATGATAGATTGCACAGGAAGGCTCCCCAAGTTGCACAGAACTGACACCAAAAACTGATATACAGATAATGAAAATTATTTGCCTAGTTTCCTTACAAATTGGGCTACAAAGATATGATAGATTGTGAAGGAACCCCTAGTTGCACAGAACTAACACCAAAAAATGATATACAGAAAACAAAATTTACTTTGCCTAGTTTGCTTACAAAATTTGGCTACCAGATGTAATAGATTGCACAGGAAGGCACCCTAGTTGCACAGGGAGGCATCCCTAGTTGCACAGAACTAACACCAAAAAACTGACTTACAAATTTGGCTAGTGGCTATGATAAATTGCACAGGAACGGCGCCCTAGTTGCACAAAAAAATAGACTGACTACACATAGCAATTCCCCCTCTCAAAATCAGCAAAAATCATGTGAAAAGCCGCTGGGGCTAGTGCTCTACCTTCCCCTAGCAGATGAACTACAGATCCATGGATGTTAATCCACAGGGACGAACCTGGTTGGGGATCTGAAGATTCTCTGACTATGTGTTCATCATGGCCGTGAGGGGGCTGGATCTGGTTGGGGAAGGAGCAACGAGACAGGTTGTCGATGATGCTGTGGTGGCCTGGACCGTCGTTCTTGGCCGCGCCGCACAGGCCGCCCTCTACGGCAGCCGCTCCGTCGTCCTTGGCCCAGCCATCTGCAGCAGCAGCAACGTCGACTATGGCGAGGAAGGGAAGGAGCAGGCGGGCGCCATGGGGAGGAAGGGGAAGAGCAGGGCAGAGCCATGGGAAGGAAGGGAAGGAGAGCAGCAGGGGGCGCCATGGGGAGGAAGGGAAGGAGAGCAGCAGGGCGG